AAGATAAGTTAAATTAAAACTTAAAAGCAAATGGAACAAGACTCCAGTGAAACATTCTTCAGTATTAAAATATACAATATTCCATCCAACAGAGATGTAAACCATCTTAACTTAACATCTCAATTACAAAACCACTGTCAAATCTATAAATTTTTTACGAGTAAAATCAGCAACAGACCTTTGGTGGTGGACTAACAGATTTCAAGTAAAGGTGCATGTCACATGAGGGAACAATGTAAAGAAAGTGCCTTCTCCATTTTATCTGCTGCCTCAGCATCGAGGTCGGTATTGTGAGTTGTGACTAGTCTGTAAAATGAAGACTGGGGAAAACTCTGGATTGGAAAGCAATAATGACGGAGGAAAACATATGATTGTGATGCCATGATGGATCAGAGAGCTCTTCTTGGAGACAAGAAGAGAACACTTGTCACAGCTAGGAAATGAAATGAGACTACGTCCATCAGCCATGATAGTATGGACATTGCAATGTTATCCTGCGCCAAAGAATAATTGAGTATGGTGGTTCATACTTAAAAACACTTCTTTGTAAACATATCCTAACACCCATAAAAAGCTACATCTTCTGTTATTGAGTCAAATGATCTGAACAGATCTTCGGCCCAATGCTATCACAATGTGAAGAATGATCACGGTGTCCCAAAGCAGACCAAATTTCAGTTATTCAAGTCCTTTGACAGTTGAAACTATCAGATAAGGAAGGATAAGTGCAGGCGAGGACTTCTGAATCTCTTGAATCATCAATACTCAGAAGAAAATGAACTGCCGGGTACGTCAAGATTTGCCATCATATATCAACTGCTTCGCCACCACATCAGCTTTACTGCTTGCTAGTTATCAAAATATCTAGAGCCGCAGAACGATCATTCTCAGATTCAATGCAACATGTGTGCTGTATGTCAAGGCGTGAGCAATGGGTGGAACAATCACTTTGCACAACTCAGTTCATGTCTCAGTTTGCAGTTGCATGGAGGTAAAACTCTCAAATAAAAGAACTGTCCTGACCACTGGAAGTGAAAAATTCCAGCATCCTACTAAACGGTCTATTCAGGCACCTTGCTGGAGGATGATAAGATGCATGATCTAAACTCATCCGCAATATAGGAGGATCATATATTAAATTCACAAAGTAAAAAGAAAATAAATAAATAAACATAAGACCACCACAGCAGGAAAGCTCTAATTGGAGTTCGTTGGCCATATAACCAATTCATCTCACAAAAAAACTTTTTTTGGTATAGTTAGCATGTATAATTTTGTAGGAATGAGATTCAGGACAAGAAAGGTCGATGTGGATAGATAGTTCTGGACACGAAGTAAACCCAACCAGAAGACCAATTAGCACCTCCAATATCAAGTAAGAAATAACACATAAAACCAAGATTTTCGAGGCTTACCAGATTTCATATCCACTCTATCCACTCTCCCATATCTTCTGAAAAGCCTCTCCAACTCTGACTGTCTGGCATTATACTCAACATTCCCACAGAAAATTGGCCTCATCCCACCTGAGTAGAAGATCTCAAAACTCTTTCCACCTTGAGATCAGACAAGAAAATTACTCGCGATCAGGGAAGAGAAACAAATTAATTTAGTCCAACTCAACAAACATAATGTACTTCATCAGTACAGGTACAACAAGAGCCACACACACACAAGTAAACCACTCGAGAAACATTTGTGCCTCCTTTTAAGAACTTGTTTCTTTATACTAGTCATAATATGATTAGTGAAGTAAACATGACAAAATGTTTGACAATTTGGCATAATAGTTGCTAATATGTTCCGCTTAAAATGCTAAATTAGTACCAAAAGCTGAAGACAATCAATAAACAGATAGTACTTCTAATGTATTACAATTTCTTGTTTCAAAAGTTAACATAGCCAAAGAGTTTAGGAATTGTGGCTTTTCCAAAGACAATTTAGATATATACGGTCACTGTTTCAACAGAATGAAATGACAGAGGGAGATGATAATTGTACAATTACAAACTAATTATTGAAATGGAGAAACACTACCGAAGCATTATGAGATAGCAGGATGACTACCGAAGTGAAGGGTAAGTCCAGAAAATTTATAGGACCGGTAATGTTATCTGGTGGCGAATGTTGGACCGCTAGAGTTCAACATATCAACAAGATGAATGTTGCAATCATACAAGATTACATCAGATTAAAAATGGACACAATTGCCATATGATGCAAATAGCACGCCTGAGGATAAAATGAAGAACATCACTTGAGTTGTTTGGTCACAGCCTACAAATGCACCGGTGACTAGGTGTCATACTATGGTGAGCAAAGCTGTATGAGATAGACCTAAAAACCACATTACTTTTAGAGACCTACAATTTCTTGAAAACAATTTAGTGTAGCTAAATATAGGGCACAATGGACTAATAGTTGATTTTGAACCTACTGCTTTTCTTCAAGTATTTTGACCTTATTTAGGATCAACTCCGTGAATCCTTTATGATGGATTTGATCAATTTGAACATGGTACTAAATAATTTGCATATCAGCATAGACTTAGTGTTTCTCTAATTCTCGCACTTATCTCTATACAACACACAAGTCTCTCCACACAAAACATCATAAAAGAAATTGTTTTTTCTTCCACCTAAATATTTCCTCTCCATTTTTTATACTCATGGTGTCTGGGCTAGTTTCGCGCACCTCAACATAGTTCTACGGGATAACCGCCACCTCCCACCAGTCAAAGATACTAGAAATTGTCCGCCAATGCTTGAGAACATGGAAAGAAATGACCTAGTATTTTTTTTTATCTCGGCTAGAATTTTGATCCTTAAACCTCATAGTTCTCAACCCACTTCATTGACCACTATGACACACTTGGTTGCTCCACCTAATATATCCTCATGTTATGCTAAAACCTTAAAAGTTACACTCCATCTTCTTTTGTAGAATTCAAGCACCAAAAATGCTAGTAGACAAAGCTGACAATTCTCTTTTTTTCAGTGACGATGATCTGCAAGCTACCTACGGAAACCTCAACTATTCCACCAAGTACCAGCTACCTCAAGCATAGAAAGGAAAACAAAACACCTAGTAGCATCTTTTGCCAAACTTGAGACCTAGGGTTCTCCCCCCACTTAATTGACCATAAGGCCTCACCCTTGAGTACCCATAACTGAATAACCATTCATCAAACTTATTAATGCTAAGGTAGGTTGAAACAGCCCAAGGTCAACTTTAACAACCCTAATCTACAACTTTCAGTTTCATTTTTACTTATATAACACTTCAAGCATCAAAACCCTTCAATTTCCAATCTTAACACCAACACAAACAAATCAATTTCTTAACCTAAAAAACACAGATCCTCAACAAAAACCTCAACTTTATAATTTTTTAGTACATCATTTAACCAAGCTAACCAACAATCAAAAAGTCCATTCCTCCACACAGAATATAAACCTTGATGATTAAAAAAAAAAACTCAGATTCAACATTTCCCTATTTACTTTACTGATTTCTACAAAATTTAAACAGATCTGAGAAAAAAACAGTATAAATTAGAAGATCTGATTGATAAATTAGAGAGCGATGAAGAACTGTTACCTCTTTCGAAAGTTGAAGAAATGGTGAAGTACAGCGAGAGCTTCGAGGCTGAGTGAAAATATCTTTCTCGACGCTATCTTACAGAGTTATAAACCGCAGCGGCGAGTTTTCTTGTTGACCAAAATACCCTTCTTGTAATAATTTTATTTATAATCTATAATTTTCGTCATGTTTTATTGAAAATATATATTTGAAAAATGTACGAGTATTGATTATTTTTTTTAAATAAATATAATTTTAATGTGTCATACGGTTGTAAAATTTATTATTAAAGGTATAATGAAAAGTTAATTGTATAATTTTTGTTCTATTTCATACTACAAAAATAAAATATTATAAAGAATACACCATATGATATAATTTGACGGAGAAATAATTGAATGGACATGTAATTATACTTATATGAGTTCATATTCTAAACTATTTTGCTCAACTATTTGGCAACTGAACCGTTAAGCTCAATAAAACTCATACTTTAATTGGCAAAAGTTAAGTAAAAGAATTCAAAATGCAAATTCATAGGGCCGTTTGAATGGGCTTAATAAAGTACTTTTGAAAGTGCTGAAACTTATTTTTAAAATAAACAGTAATGTGTTTGGATAAAAGTGCTGAAGTTGCTATGCCAAACGTGAAAAGGGAAAAATGGAAGAAAGAGATGTTAGGGTTATGTGGGTAATTTGGAGATTGTATAAAAATATTAAGGGCAAAAAGATAAAAATATGGTCAACTTAAAATAGCTTATAAGCTAAAAAAAAAACATCCCTACCTCAGTTTTTAAATTTTGGCTTAAAATATTTTTTTTAACTTAAAATAAGTTATTTTGAGTATTGTCAAACAACTTGTCCTTCTCCTTCCCTTTTTTCGGAAGAAGGGTGGGATCCGAACAAAATCGATGAAACAGAAGAAATCCGAGTGAATGGAAAAGACAAAATAAAGGATAAATTCCACTTTCACCTTACAAAGACAGGCTATAACAATATTAATACTAGTAATAGTCCAATTTATGATTATCAGGATTCTTATCTGAATAATAATAATACGGGGAATCTAAAAAATTGTCAAAAACCAGCTTTTAAGTCAGTTTGACCAGATTTTAAGCTGAGCCAAACAGGCTCATAGTCTATTAGTATCATTTTTTAAAAACAAATTTTAAAAAATATCACATAAATCAAACGGAGGAATCATTTAATTTGATATGAAATATAAACCCCTTCATTTTTAATTAAAAAATTTGCATTCGAGCCTTTATATGAACTCGTGTTTATCTATGAGACTTCATCATCACTTAAATAATAGGTTTTGCGTTCGATCCGTTATATGAAATATTTATCCCAAAAATGAGACTTCATCACATGAACTCAAATTACTCTAACCTCAAAACTAATACCAAAAATCGAAAATGACATACTAATTTAAGCAAAATGTAATATATTGATTCATTAAAACTTAATGAATCAATTTCTTAAAAGTAAGAACATATCATAATCCAGAAAGTACCATAAAAAGAAATACATCAAGCAACACACTGATTTGTCTCTAGTACCAATAGTTTTTGTTGCTATATTGAACTAAAGGTGCTTTGTTCATCTTCGTAAGGACTTGAAGAACACACCAATAACAAAAACAGCAATATATCAAAGCGCAATCCCACAAGTGGAGTTTACGGGAAACTTAAAGTATACACCATATCCAAAACAAATCACCCTTAGGCTGCTGAAAAAAATGTACAGAAAACGTTTAGTTAGTGTACATTTGACATCTAATAATTCATAAATTCGTTTGAAACGAAATTAACTAAAACTAAAGAAATCATACCTGAGTAGTAGGTTTGGCGAAACTCCCCATCAATCTACAGTCAGCACAGCCTGCGTAAATTATTTCCAAATAAATTTAACAAAAGAAGGATATGATAGGACTTTATGAAGTTGAGATACGTCACCCTCCAAGATATAGTAAATTTCTACGTATTTAGTGTACTTTCGCCAAGGTGTTTTCGAAAATAGTTCCCCTAGAAAGTAACAACGTAATCAATATGGAAAAACATGTTTCTCAATAATAGAGCAGCAATTTGTGTTTGGTCAAACTTTCAAAAGTGAATCCTCCTCAAAAACACTTTAATTTCCCTTAGAAGTTTGGTAAAGCACCTTAATTCTATAAAAATAAGCAATTTTGACCTCGACAAGCTTTGGCCGAACAAGCTATAAGTTGGTCATTTGCAAAAAACAGATTTAAAATTTAAATAATCCAGTTGAATGGTGCAAAGTCTAGGATTAGAAATATTCTAAAGTACAAGGAGAATAGATGCAAAAATGCATAAAGACGTTAACTTCTTGTCATCAAACTATCGTTCAGCTGATCTATCACTTTCTTTTATTCTTTTTTATTTTTCATTATGACGTAGGGTCAACCACTTGGGCTGACCTTAGGCGAGCACCCCTCCAAAGTGCAAGCCTAGACCATGGGCCTTCATGATCGCCCATTGACCCTGTCCAGGTAAGTCTATCACTTTCTTTTAAAAAAAAAATGATTCTAAGCATTGGTGAGTTTTCAATGAACAATTGAATATGATAGTACTTGTTAATTATTAATTGTATGTGCAAATGAGAATCTACAATGAGCAAAACAATACATCTCACCGCTCATATTCTTTATATGGATGATGAAAAAGAAACTTGCCTTGAATGGTATTTGATTGAATCATTGCAAATTGTCCTCTGTCTCCATGTCCTGATTAAAACCACCATCAAAGTTGACATGGTGATGATGTGAAAAGTAATATTATAAAAAGGATCATCTCCCAAATTGTTACGAGGATCAATCATGAGCTTCAACAAGCATATTCAACTCTGAGAAAAATTTAAGTTGCATTAATATTATGATGTAATATCTAGATCTCTAAATTCGAATTCATTCCCTACTAGCTTTCTTGGTCTTCCTTTGGGTGCAAAACTAAAATCTCCTGGAGTTTGGAATGGTGTCATAGAAAAGGTTGAAAGGAGATTGGCAACTTGGCAATCACAGTCCTTGGTAGCATTCCCACATACTTCATTTCTTTTTTGAACTTGGTAACTTTGTATTATATCACAAAACAGTAAATGGGCCGTACTGTAACCTTATATACAAGTGTACTCCTGATTTCACTTCTCTACGTCTAAATTGAGTCTAACACATACTTCATTTCAGTTTTCACTGTACTCTATGCCTAGTTCAGTGTTGAAGCAGACAGACAAATGGAGGATTTTCTTATGGCCTATGAGAGGGTAATTGTCAGACTCAAAAGTGTTCATTAGTAAAGTAGGTCAAAGTCACTCAGCCAAAATCACAAGTGGATCTTAGAATAAAAAATTTGAGTCTACACAACAAGAGCATGCCAATGAAATGGTTATGGAGATATGGTCATGAAGATACAACACTATGGAGGACGGTAATTGATGCCAAGTTTGGAACCCACAGTCATTGGTATTCTAAAACAGACACAGGAACTCATGGAGTTGGGCTATGAAAACATTTTATTTTATGTTAACGAAAGAAAAAAATAGTTGGCCTATGAAACATATTAGTAGCCACCAAGCATGCTTTTTCAAGAATATCTCCTATAAAGTGGCAATGGATCTCAAACAAAATTCTGGAAGGATAAATGGCTTGGCAACAATGCTCTTAAAGACTCTTATCCCGGACTACTCCTGATAGGAACCAAGAAAGACCTAGAGTCATATATCATACAGAGATAGATAATTCTTGGAGCCCTCTATTCAGAAGGAACCTTTTGATACGGGAACTAAATGACCTCCTCACATTATTAGCCACTCTGAAACGGTACACAATTGAAGGACAGCACTGAGACAGTATGGTATAGGGGAACTCCATAAATGGCAGTTTACAGTCAAGGACAACTACAATATCATGTGCTCTCAAAATGGTATATTTGACAAGTGGCCTTGGAAGCATGTCTGGAGGATCAAAACAACTCCAGACTCCAAACTCACCTGCCTCAACTGGATTGCTTTAAATGAAGCATCTCTAACACAGGAAAATCTCAATATAGGAAAAACTGTCATTGTCAATTGATGCTACATGTGCCTATAGGATCAGCAAGTGTCAATCATCTGCTTCTACCTAGCCCATTTGCAGCAGTATCTGGAGTTTTTTTCTGTTTATTTTCAGGCTACAGTGCGGTCATTCCACATTCTACCAAGGATGTTTTCTCAAGTTGGACTTTTTGAAGAGTTGACAAATCCATCAAGAAGATCTGAAGAATGATTCCAGCAGTAACTTTTGGTACGTGTAGAATGAGAGGAACCGCAGGTGATTTGATGGGATTTCAACTCCAACTCACTCACTGAAATCTAGATGTCTAGTTCATTTGTTGAGTTGGTACTATAACTCCACCATAAATAGTATTGACAGTTTTTTGGACTTCGAGAACTCTTGGTTTTAGTTTAAACTTAATTGTAATGGAGCTAACCCACTTTAGTACCTTTTTGCTCACGTAGCATCTTACTGGTGGTTTTCAATGACAACTCTTTACTTCAATTAGAAAAGTTGATCTGTAAATAGTATTTTTAAATCGTCCCATATCTACTTTAAAATTGAGGGAAGATCAAGTTCAAACACGAAATTTGAAAATACATGAACTATCAGACAATAAAAAAAAGTATAGTTTTTACTTTTGATTGCATAATTGCAAAGAATAAAGAAAAATGCTCAAAAAGTATATACCTGATGAGGTTGATCATTCCCTTGATTCATGGAAGAAGCACTAAGATCACCAATCCCTTGTAATCCTTGCATAGCACTAACCTTGTGAAAGACAGAAAAATTACGAACTGGATCGAGCACAACATCAACTTCTTTCCCCCTGAAAACATCATTAACAAATATAGATACAGCTTTAAGCTAAGATTAATGCCTGAAGAAGTGGTTATTAGGTGAATCATACGTACTTATTCTTAAGATGTTGCAGATTGCCTGTCAGATAACCTGTTGAAGGGTGAATCAATGAGCTGGGGACACTAGACTGCACTCCAAAATTCTCTTGATGAACTTGTCTATGTTTAACAAGCATTCCAGACGCAATGGTCGATTGATTAGCTCTACTGGCTAAGTTTTTGTCAGGAACTTTGTTAATAGAGCTTGAATCAATAACTCGGTGCAAGTAATTACGATATTTCTGCAAAATTAGAACAAATTGCTTGAAATGAATGGAAGAACTGATGATTAGGACAGAGCAAATTAAAAGCGCTACCTAAGTTTTAGTAATGAGGATTTAGAGTCAGCAATTCCGTAATCAGCAAACAAAGTTGCTAAAGTATGGAAGCAGTTTATAGAAATACTAAGTCAAAGACATGCATCTACCAGTATCCCCGCTATTCAAGCCAATGTCGTAAAAGAGGGACACATTTTGAATACTCCCTCCATCCCATTTTATATGAGGTACTTTGGCTTGGCACAAACTTTAAGAAAAATGGAAAGACTCTATAATGTTCCGAAAATACCCTTATTAGCAAAGTGGTGAAAAGAAAGAAAAGGTTATGACGAAGTATTGAAAAAAAGTGTTTAAAGTACTGTTGATTGTCAGAAAAAGAGAAAAGTATTTGTACTTTACTGCATTTCAATAACTTTTTCTTTAAATAAAAGAGTGCAACTATTGAAATAATGTGATTCAAGAAGGGTAAAATAGGAATAATGTCATTAAATATTTACCAAATAAGGAAATGTGTCATTCTTTTTGGGACAAACCAAAAAAGAAAATGAGACACATAAATTGGGACAGATGGAGTAGTAAATTAGAGAGGAGTTCTCCGAGCACTAAATGGAATAGAATACATAAAAGCCCCAGGACATGATGGATTTAATGCCTTATTCTTCAAAAAGACATGGTCAATAATTGGAGAAGAAATACAGATGCAGTATTGGAGTTTTTCAGAAGACAGAAACTTCACAAACCTGTAAATTGTACCAGTGTGAAACTCATACCAAAAGTAAGGAAATCCAACCAATGTAAGAGAATTTGAACCTTTATCCTGTTGTACTATCCTATACAAAATTATATCAAAGATAATCACTACTAGACCAAAGGAAGTCATGTCTCAGCTGATCAAAAGGTATGAAAGAAAAGGGATGTCTCCAAGAAGCATGGTCAAGGTGGTATGTAGAAGACATATGATTCAATGGAGCAGGAATTTACGAAGCAGGTTATCACGACCCTGAACTTTCCAGAGAACTTCATAGGGTGGATCATGGAATGTCTTACAATAGTCTCCTATGGGCTAATCAAGCAAAGAACAGATTGAGATCATGCAGTATCTTACAACAGTATGCAGAACAATCTTGAAAGGCAGCATTTACTTTAGTTCTACGTTTCTCAGACTCTTCAAAAATGTCGATGGGTATGTGTCAGATCCTCCAAAAGTAGAGCATTTTTGGAGGATGCCACAATATTTTGGAGAGTCCTAGCAAGATAGATTTATTTGGCAAGAAAGGAATTTGAGAGTCCCCCAACAGAAGAGATGAACCCTGAGGTGATCATACGTTGATAATACAATAATCCATCAATAGAATAGCTATGAAGCCAAAGCTAGCAAGGAAGAATCCATCAATAATTAAGTGTTATGTTGTCATTATATAAAAATCAAAGCAAGATTCTAAAGACGAAAGCTAATTGATGATTAATATTGCATATAGATAGTCAAGAATCAAGAATATCTTAATAATTAAAGTAAACAAATACAAAAATCTGATTTATCTTATTCTATAAGAGTATGAACTAGTTCAAGCAACGTAATACAGAAATTAAACATTGCTTCAACTATTTTATATGTGAAAACCATAACAATAATAGTTAAACATATGTATTTAGAAGTAGACCTGCCAATGACTGGAGACATTTTCTCTAGTTAATCCAGGGACATTCATGTGTTCATGAATCTTCTTTGGCACAGCTTCTGCATGAAAATTGAGGTAACAAATTATTGGCAATTTAACATTCCTTTCTGTTTGACACCTCAGAAAAACTATTTTCAATAATGTGAATATGCTAGCAACAACTTACTGCTAAACCCAATGTCGTGAATGGCTTCCAGGAATGCGTGGTGAAGTGAATCTGTCCATATAATCTGAGGCTTCGTTGGTAGAACAAGATCGCCACTGTTATCTTTGCCCCTTTTCCTCTGTTTCATTGCAGATTTCCCAGGGACAGCTCTTTTACCTTTCTTCTCCTGCAACACTGTGCAGAGTCCTTTATCTCTTTGATCGTCCACTGATAGACCCTTCAGTCCTTTCAAGATTGCACCTTCCTTTTGGTCAGCTGACATTGCTGGCATTTAGTACATAAGCTTAAATCATAAACTTGTCTCTAACGACCAATGAATAGAATACTGACCATTTTACGGAGAAAAAAAACTGGAAAAAAAGAAGAAGAAATCAACTCACACAAAACAGGTATTTCAAATGCTTCGGCTATCATTTCTTGAAGTTTACAGCCATTCATATCAGACTTGTGCACATCAATGACAATGAGATCACAAGAGTCGACTTTGATCTGAAGTTTAGGCAAAGCATCTATTGGATATTTGACAGCCACAGCTGAAAGAAAACAAAATAGTTTATTGATTAGATGTATTATGAAGGGGAAATGACAAACATTCCATATAGAAACATTTAAAAATCCAAATACCAATATCCTACGCGACGTTGCTTATAAAAGCTCTGACATTAGGATTATTAGCCAAAACAAGGGAACTACTTTTTCCATACATATGCTTATCTAAGATCTTTTCTTGTGGCTATAGCAAAGATAATTCCATAAATACAGATGCACTTAATGTTCTTATCAGATTCATTAAATCATTTTTTCTGCTTTGTGTGGTTCTTGTACACAAAATTCTTCTTACTTACCGAAAAAGAAAAAAGAAATTTTGATTTGAAAATTCTCACAATATCAGTTAAATAGGAATTAGTGAAATGGGGGAGTTTGAGAAGGGTAGGCAAGGGCCAAGGCCTATGTTGATGATCTGAGAACATTTTAACCAATCTATTGATAGACTCCTCTACATCTTTCGCTAACAATAAAAAAAAACTGAGAGCAACTATATTCAAAAAGTGGTTTGTCATTGTGATTCCTCTTCATTCTTCATCAAGTCAAACACACATGGGATCCAATGAAGATCTAACGAAGTAAAGTGGAACCTAAAATTAATTGTTCCACTCCTATTCCTAAAAAGGAAGTACAAACAATTTTGGTACATTCGATAGGTAATTTGAATTCATACATCATGCTACTTGAAGATCTAAAGCTTACCACTTTCAACTCTAGGATCTATCAAATTAGGGGAAGAAAAAAGCAATCATTGCATTCCAGAATCTACACCAAATAGGGAATGAAAAAAAAAAAGACAAAGACATCACCAAAGATCTGGTAAAAGTACCTTGGTAGTTGCATTTCTTGAGTAGCTCAGCAACAACCTGAAGATAAGCAGCATTATCATCCACAACCAAAATGCTGATTTTTTGAGCAGTTTTGGAAGACATATGTGTCTCAACTTCCATCGGTAAGCAAGGTATGACTCTGCGGCAAAGATTTAATCTGTTAATGCAAATGAAGATCTATTAGGTCAAACTGAATAATGACAATTGCCGCAGGTGTTGTAGATGGTTTTGTTCTTGATAGAGCTGTCAATATGGGCCGATTCAGCCCATTCGGGGTAACCCTTACAGGCTTTAGTTTTACGAGTCACTGGCTCATTATTTTGGTGGGCCAAAAAACAGTCAGCCCAACCTTTCATTATGCGGCTCGCAGCCCACGCCAGGCCAGCCCACTTTTTTAAAAGAACATATTTTATATAATTTAAACTTTAATTTAAAAAATGTTAACATAAATATTGACAAGATAATATTACATGCAGGGTCCACCTATACTTCTGAAAGTGCAATAGGCATCGCAAACCAAATTTCTAAGCTAAAGTCAACAAACCGCAATGTTGACAAATAAGACATTATAAGGTTTTCGTTACTACTGTTTTGCATCTTTCGATAGCTATAATGAATTAGAAAACATCACCACAGTTTATTGAATTTGCATTTCGTCAACCCACCTTAGCAATGCAACTTTATTGAGATGACCAACAAATCTATATTCAAACGTTGATACTCAATCTGATATAGTCAACAGACCATTATAGTACCCTTCGGGGTGGTCCAGTGGTTTGAGCTTGGGACTTCCATGTTGGGTCTCAAGTTCGAAACCCCTTGCCAGCGAAAGCAAGGGATTTGCCTTCTGGGTCGAGCTCGTCGCACCAAGCTTGCCTAGTGCGGTTCTCTCTTCATGTGGTTTGCTAGCTATTGCATAGGAGCGGGGGTTTTATTGTACGCACCCAAAGGATAGCGACTACGGGTTTCCCTTGTCATAAAAAAAGAACGACCATTATAGAAGGTTCATCTCGGTTGAATCTTATGCAATACTAAAACTAGAGTAAGAATGTTACAATAATAATATTGGCCAAACTAACATAACATTGAAAAAACATAAGTATATCATAAATGTATCAATAAATATAAGAGACAAAAAGAAAAAGGATCAACAGTAGGGGAAGGGAGATTTACTAGCTAGTGGCGACCACAAGAGAGGAGTGGTGAGCGTCAATGTCGATGGGGACCGGATGGAAAGATCGTTAGATCTAAATGGAGAAACTCAAGCAAAGGATGTGGTGTAGTGGATGGGGTTGTTCCTCTCTTAATCAAAGGGCTTGGATTCGATCCCTCGGTATGAAAAAATCCTTGGTAGGGAGCGATTCCCCCCGAATGGAGCCCTACACAGCGTGAATCAGGAATAGGCAAGCTCCAATGTTGGTATCGGAAAATGTGGATATGAAACCAAAAAAAAATACCAAAAATCAATCAGAAGTAGAAATATTTTCCTTTATTAGAAGTTGAGCTCCCAACGACCAACCTGCCAAAAAGTAATGAACTATGAAATTGTCTTCTGAAGTCAGGCTTCAACTAAAATTAATTTGACTGATGGAAGCCCTAAAAAAATTTATTTGTCAAGAATTGCGATAGACATGTTCCTACCAACAGAGAAGGAAATGTCCTCTAAAACATCTTCCTACAAAATGGTACAAACAATCTTTGATGGATTGCAATGCCCTTTCAATCGAAAATCAAATCACATTAGAAATTAAGAAAAATAACTTTTTGACGACTTCTAGTTGATGTATAAGTTGATGTCTTGACAGCATCTTGGTCCATCGAAGGTCATCAAAAATCGACCAATTTCTTAAAGTGTGAAATCTCAAGGCATAAAGTGTCATATGAATAGCATTTTTTATGCTGAGATGATACAACTCGACCAAAGGTAGGTGTGAAGGACTGTCAGACCGTTGTTAAGGGTCACATGGGATAACCTTTGACCATAAATCCAGTCTATCACAATCTAAAAGAGCTCAACATCTAATCAGTCACATTTATTCTTTAAAAGAACATAACTGGAGCAGGAAATCCTACAATGCAGATCTCTCTAGTAACCAAATCACCAAATATGGGCTATCTTGCATTCAAATTTACAGCTAAAGATTACTTGATAACTTGGTGCACAATTGTAGATTCACTCTAATTGTGAAGTTCTAATGGATGAAACTTATTTGGTGCAATTAGAAAATTGTTGTTACACATCCCACTTAGAGGTTGTTTGGTACAAGGGACAAGGGAAAATAATCTTGAGATAAAATGCACGATTATTTTATCCTATGTTTGGTTAGGGGTATTAGTTAGTCCCTGGATTATCCCACCGTTTGTACTACAATGATGGGCTAAGTTATTCCATATATATAGTGGGATAACTAATTACCCACCCTTCATACCATACAACCCCTTACGTTTAATGTTGTTCATCCATTCTAAAATGTAGACAGTGAAAACAAGATCATCAATTAACTCGTATTGCATCACATATGAGACCAGATGGTCTATCCATTTTATATATAGAAGTCACGACGATCATCGTTCATATATTGCAAGAGCAGTTTGAGCCCCTCCCCCCCCCCCCCGGTTGACATAGATATTTGATAAAGAGTAATCTATAGACTTGTGTAACCACCACACAAGAAAAAGGTTAGCACTTAGTACATACCAAAGCTTATAATGCAACCAACAGAATCAAAGAACTCGGTCCCCATCAGAGAAAACATGTTGTAATAAGGTTGCTTGAGACCATCATCATCAAACGTGTGCCCAATGTCTGCCATGAACTCAGTAGCAACTGAAGCAACAAACTGGACAGAGAAAATATGTTTAGGAGCATCATCTATTTTGGGAAGATAGAAGTGAGAAGGTGGGACGACATGAAGCAATCCAACACCACAAAAGCAACTGGGCTATCAAAGGAAAAAAAATCCAAAGAATGACTGACTACATGGTTAGCAGTGAAAAAATAATCATCCCTTTAGATTAAAAAAAATGGTGGGGATTATACTGCAAGCAAGATGCTTATAGTAAATTCTAACGAAAAAGTACACTATCGGATGTCATTGTTTCCGCGAGACAAGATTTACAGTTTTCATATATGAAATAATCTCCGTGTCCCAGCTTACAACATCCTCTACACAAAAAAGGAACTAAGTCAACAAGTTGATGAATTCACTTCGACCTTCAAGTAGAGATATCATATTAACATGCTTGATTGTCAGTGTAAGAAGTGTTGTTGAGCAATATATTGAATTGAAAAGTATTATGAAGCTGAGATTATCAAAAACTTGATTGTGGTAAAAAGAATATAAGCACCAAACCCAAATCTCAATACAAAATCTCTAATATCTCATCTTAGATCACCTTCAAAGAGAATCAATTCTACAAATTAAATAGCTAAAACAAAACTTAACACCTTTCTAAATAGAATATAACCATCAATGTTCAAACCAAACAGGAGACAATGTCGAAAAAAATCTCAATTAAACCAATAGTAACACTAACACCGTCTTGTTAACTATTCGTCTGTATTGTTCTGATGAATACAATATTGCTATTACAAAGAAAAAGTAACATATGGAGTAAAACCTTTTCAATTATACGTGTCACCGTTTGAATTTCGAGAGTCGGACCAAACTCGGCAAGCAATGGAACATAATGAAACCCTGCTTCTGCAAAGCTGCTACATTCATATGAAATGAGTAATACAAAGCTAGATAATCGATAACAAACCAAAATTCAACCATTAATGAAGCTATATTGATGAAAATACCATATTTGCTGCTCGGAGATGGGTTGATAAATCCAGTCGTATGGTGGCGGTGGGGCTGATTGTCCGTCGCCGGTGAAACTTTTTACACTATACCAAAGCAACGAAAAAATGACAAAAATGACCTTATCTTTGTGTATAAACTATAGTTTTAGTCCTTCAAATTTCTCAAAAATATAATTTAGCTTGTTGGTTTGTAAATAAGTTATATTGAGTTTAGTTATTTTGAAATTGTTATTTTATTATAATGTTGAATAAAATAATAAAAATATAACTTCAATATAATTACAGAAACTAAGTTATCCTACGATTTTATTCTAATTAAATATAGGATTAAGTTATCCTAAAATAAGTTTCTTATTTCACGTATCAAACGAGCTCGAGCTCTTTTGGTATTACTTATGAGGATGATAACTTCGGGATAATCATTAAAATTATTTTATCTTTATTTAGTTAGGAATATTAATTATTATTTGTCTCATCATTTATCCTATAATGATTGAAATAAATTATTATATTAACGTGGACAATTAACTTATCTTTATTTATGGATTGTCACGACCCAAAAATGGACGTAATGGCACCCGTCTTATCCCACCAAGACAAGTTAGCCTAAAACTCAACCATTACAATAAAATGCGAAAAATTTATTATCAAATTAAAATATACCCCAAAACCTGGTTGTCACGTGTACAAGCATCTAAAATATTACAATTGAAACAAAAGAAAATATAAGTCTCTGATATTGTTTTTAGAGTAAAACAAAATCATAAACAGGAATAAGAATGCATGCTGAGATGACCAACAACTACCTCACAAATCTCCAGAAAGCATCGGAATATAAGAGAATGTATCATAAAGGTGTGGGCTAGTAACCTACAAAAAAAATTGTAGAAGCAAGGGGTGAGTGTCAAACCACACGGTACTCAGCAAGTAAACCTCTAAACACAAGCTAAGGAGATGAAATACGGGTACTCCTACCACCCCAACCAAACCTCCACAACTACAATCTGCATAAAAATCAGTCAACCTAACAGCTCAAAGTTTACATAGCACATAGTTCAACAAGAACATTTAAACAAATTACATATCCTCAACATCAACACTTTGACAAATTACATGTTCTCAACAACAACACTTTAACAAATTGCATGTCCTCAACAACGATACTTTAACAAATTACATATCCTCAATAATGATGCTTTGACAAATTGCATATCTCCAACAACAACACTTTGACAAATTATATATCCTCAACAACAAGCTCAATATTCATCAATCACCAGTTCCACAGAAAGACATTCACAAAATCAGCGAAACACAATATCAAGTTCACTAATGATAAGTATGTGCAATGCAATAGAATGCAATGTTAAATATAATGATGCATGTCTGACCTAGTGATACACACCCGCTGTCTCTCAGTCCGGGACCCATGGGGGACATATCTGTCCATGCATCTGTCGCGGCGCACGACACGACCCTCGATAATAGTAACCATCGCGACGCGCGATACGTCCCTCAAAATATAGTATCCATTGCGGCACGAGATACGTCCCTCGAAATGGTACATCCTCTTTAAGTCTTCATTCTTTCTCAATGCACATAACACTTGCCACAACCTTGTCTTAAAATAATACAAATGACATGTTACAACCATTTTCATAACACTGCATGATTTACACCAACATCAACAATGATTCAACAAGTCTTTCAAACCATTCTTTATTATCAACACATCACACACAACAATTATTCACATTGTCTTTTATTACCCTTTGTTTTCATCATTAGAATTAAGCTAGCGTTTGGCCATAGATATTGAAATATTTTTGGCAAATATTATTTGGATGAAAATTTGGGTGAAATTTTACCATGTGTTTGGCCATAGAATTTGAGAAACATATTTCATTTTTTTAAGAAATATGATTTATACCCATAAGTTTTTAAAACTATCAAACTAACCATAAATTTGTATTACATAGCACAATAGAAATCTCCTGTAACAAT